CAGAAGCGAAAAATTGAGGCAGCCATTTTTAACTCGTGAATGCAAAAGCAATGAGCGGGTTATAGCATGTGGTTGACAAATTTCACTCGCTCGGTCGGTCGGTTAGCTGTAAACTTTAATCGCGCTATTAATTTATGCATATTTAATTTATTAATTCACGAGTGATCATAGAAGCCTTTGATTTCCTTTCGCTTTATTTCGCTTCTTGGTGGACGGACTAAGGTAAAGAGGGACTGCTTGTAGTCTATAGTGAATTTTTATTGTGGGTGGGAGTTGCATTCGAAAGACACTGTATATACAACGACTGACATATTCGTCTGGGGGCATTAGAGTGAAAGTATATGAATTTTCCCGCTATTCATATTTTATACACATTTTATCAATCCAACTTCATTTGCCGAAAACCTAATCAAAAAGCAAACGTTGTAATCGTTAGAAATTTTGAAAGGAAAATCAAAAGGGAAATCTTATGTATAAAGCAAAGGTGAAAATATTTAACGTGGTTATCAGATAAGACAATTTAGTACACAAGAATTAAAATTAAGGTATTGTAAAGTTAACTACATTTTATTTAAACAAGCTCAGTGTAAAACAGGTCAAATTGGAATTTAGAACGGTTGCTTTTAGGAATGTTTGAATTTAGAAGTCAACACATCACATTATCGAAATTACCCCAAAGAAAAGTTATTACTAAAGTAGAGGAACACCTTAAGGGTTGTAGAGTAGTTTTCAATTAAGTGTCATAAAACCAAAGCAATCACAGTGGCCATCTCTGCGAACGTAAACAACTCAATGTGGAAACTCGAAGCAAACACACGCATCTGACGCAGTTTCTGACGCCAAGCGCGGGAAAACGCGCGTGACCAAGTCGCGATTGGTTACACAATCAAACACACAACGTACCAAAGCAATTTCGTATTACTTTCGACACTCAATTGAAAACCACGCTTATAAGTAACAAGGTGATTAAGATTGGAGACGATTGAGACGGATTACGATCCTTCTCCCGACGAACTTGTAGACGCACTATCCGTTACTAAGCTCATTTAAGATTTACTTGTGGATGGCTACATGTACACATGACAGCAATTATCACAGAGAGTTGATCTCTCTCACTCCTGTCTTGTTATTAATGTTCTTCTACAAAACGCATGGAAGTTTGGCTTAATGTGTTCACCAAACATGCAGGCCATGTGTCGGTAATTCATAACCGCTCGTCACCATGCGATGCGATCCACCACCATTGCGATGAAAAAATGTTTGTTTTTTTTCAATAATCAGTCTCCTATAAATTCAACTGTTGAATTGCTTATCATTAGCTGAAGTCGAGAAGTAATTATAATCCCTATTTATTTTTACTTGTAGATATGCTTAACTCTACTTTATATTGTTGGGAAATAATAACCTATGTTAGTATAGTCGGAGGGGGGGGGGGGGGGGAGGTTAGGCAAGGCACGTTTCATTGGACTCCAGTCTCCAGGTCCCCAAAAGCCCTGGGGACGAGGTTGTTTTCGTGAGCTTGTCGTGTCGTGGCGACAAACTTTCGGGAGTTCACGTGCCAGCTCTAATTGGACAATAATGATCGGAAACTTTTGGGAATTTCAGCGAGGGTTCTTTTAATATGAATGCAGGAAGCGTCATGATTTTGAGTTGAAGGGGGGCATTTCTTAGCTTACAAATTGATAAAAAAAACCTTAACGATCTCTAATATATCAATTGAACCATGATTATAATAATCTGTTAGCGGAGAACGCTGAAATAAACTTGAGAACTGGGGCATATTAAAACTTGTACCATTAATGTGTGACGTGGTAGGGCTCATTATTTAGCTAATATTAAACATAGAGGGCAAAATTACTGAATTCTGATTGGTTTAGAGGGCATTTTTCGTCAATTTTTGTTTGTGTAGGGCAAAATTACTCCGAAGATCGCCCGATGACTTCCGAAGATGACCCGAACCCTTCAGAAGATTTCCGAAAATAACCCGAGGCTCTCCGAAGATGTTCGAACGTGATCGGAAAGTCAGCAAATATTTCCGATAGTCTCCCGAGGATTGCCGAAGACCACCCGTTGACTATCACAGTAATTCCTGAGAAACGGCGTTAATAATCGTGTTTCCGTTGTTCGTGTTTCACTGTAAATAACGGCGTTTCACAGATGTCCCTTTTCCTACGCTGGAACTGAGAAAATTGGAGGTCTGCGCGCTGGCTATTGTAGCCTTGGGTTATCCTTGGTGACTCAGGGACAGTCGGGTGAGATGAAGTAATTGGAACAAGCGCGATTTATTTCGTGTCGTCCCCACTAATTGGCCTTGGGTCTCCGAGGATGATATTGGGTTGGCTCTCGTATTCTTGCTTCAGTATAATAGCGACCTTTAGATCGGAGTACGAGTACGTGATTGACTACAAGCACGACTTTCGAATTTCAAATCAGTCACGTTCCCAGAATCCTCGCTCCTCCCTGTTGCTAACGAGATTAGTGTTAGACGTGTTAATGTAAACTTATTCTTATAGTTGCGAGGAGGGTGGTTGGGAGCTCTCTCCTCCGCAGAGGCTCATGGGAGAATCAGCTGAACGAAGTGAGTGCAGGCGCGAGAAACCCCACGTTCAGCGGATTTCTCCTAAAAACCCCATTGAGCCTCTGCGGAGGAGAGATGGTTGGGAGCATTTCACTTTTTCATAAGAAGTTTTTGCTAACCATAGCGTACATTGAAGAGATTTTGCATCTTGCACAAAAGAATACTATATGGTAAAACTCTCTAAACATGATATGAACTGGGTTAAACGAGCTCAATAGTCTCTTAACATCTGTAACGATCATACAAAAATGAAAAAACAAGATCTACAGAGCTAAAAACTAAATATAATCCCACGGGTTTATATGCGAGGAGCGGGGGTACTTATTATCGCAGGGGTTTTTGCGTCTATGGTTTGTTGGGGGGGGCTAATTTTGACACTTTTCGGGCGGACTTATCGAAATTTTACGGTGTGAAATGAGAGTATGTACGTTTTCATCAAGAGGAACCACTTTCACTTTCATAGAACAGCTCAATATACACCGAGCAATTTATTACTTCTGATAACTTAACCTCTTCAATAATTGTCTCTTCTCTTGCATTGTCTCTTCTTCAAATACACCTAATTTAATTTCCTAGCTTTTATTGATCTAAGATCTATATTACATGAGTTCTTTATCTACAGAATGCAATCTGACAAATATCGCGATATCACGGTTACCGTGAATTCGATCCATTCCACCCAGAGAGATGGATTAACAATCTGAAGACTTCACTTGATGGAAAATAAATAAACTATATTTTACAATTCTTAAAATTGACCAAGTCCCTAGATGAGTTCGTTGGTCAAACAGCTTTAATAAGGCCATAGTCGAATTCTGTTCCAGCTGAAGTTAGTCCAATGTCCGAGCCCTGCTTCAGAGCTAACACAGATTTGTATCCAGCGGACAGGGCAGACATATGATGGAAGAAAGCTTCTTTTTCTACTTGAACGTTGAATTTGTTGATTCCATATTCCTTAAAAAGCGCACTAACCTGGGAAAAAACGATAATGGTAAATCATATGCACAGGATAAAAACCATATTAACGGACTTTGACTATAATTACCGGAGTTGAGATAAATAACCTTTGCCATTCACCTATATATATACTGTATATTGAGGTGAATAATTGTTCTAGTATATTATAAACCAAACCATCATTGGGCGAAATAACAGATTTCCGTTGCAAAATATAGCGTGAAAAATGAATGTCTGCGCAAATACACTTTTCAGCCTTTTAAAATACGAACAAACCTTACTGATTTTATGAACTATACAATAGTAAAATAGCAGTAAAAATGTGTCATCTTGTTAAACCGATTATTCAAGTGCATTGTTGCCTGTTTGCCATTAGTGGCTCCAGCTGTTAGTGAACACCTCTAAAGCCCGGGTAAGGCCCAGTTCAGACGCCGTACTTCACATGGGCCGAATCGAATTCGTATTTAGGCCGCCCTAAATTAATTTAGACCGACTGAATTGATTCAGACGCCGAGCTTAATTCAGCCGAACTTACATTAATAGGGGGAAATTGCTGTTATACTGAAAAATACATTATAATAATTCATGCATTTGTTCGGCTCATGTGAAGTTCGGCGTCTGAATCAAAGCCGGTCCACAACCGTTATTCTCGGCTGAGCCAGGCAGGAAGAACGGCTGAGCCGATCCGAATTCATTCAGCCGTTCTGAATTCATTCAGACGCCGTACCTCACATGAACTTAACTCATCGAATTCGATTCGGCTCATGTGAAGTACGGCGTCTGAACTGGGCCTTAGATGAGAACGAGAGTCGCTGAGAGTTGGAAGGACGAGTCTCAAAACAACAACAACAACAACAACAACAACAACAACAACAACAGAAAATCAAGTTTGCATCATAGGTCTATAAACTATAGACCTCTCGGCCGCTTTTGAGATTATTCGCCCAATTACTCCCTGAAATGTACTTCGCTCAGTCCTAACAATTTATAACCTTGTCTTCCAGCAACCAAAAATTAATTAAGAGTCTACCTCGTGTCACATCACACCAACCTGTTGAATAATTCTCTGCTCATTTGCTGAGGGCGCCACCTGGACATGAATAGCACCAACTATTGCGTCAGAAGAGTGCCGCCAGAAATGAGGATCACGGTATGACAAAACACCATCCAGAGATAAAATCTAACACAAAACAAAACATGATTGAACTGGTTAAGAAAGAAAAGCAAAGAAAACAGTGGATTGATAAAAAGGTTAAGCCGCACTCGGGCCAAACTAGCCAACACCTCCGGAGCTTATCCCGGTTTCCTTAGCATGACGCCGACTAGGAGTGTTGCTACTCCCCCTGGATGGGATGCTAGTCCATCGTAGGTTACCCCCAGCATTTTGTCGCCGGTACCCATTTATACTCCTGGATGGAGAGAGGCACTGTGAGAGTAAAGTGTCTTGCCCAAAAACACAACACAATGACCCAGGTCAGGGCTCGAACCTGGACCACTGGATCCGGAGGCCAACGCGCTAACCATCCGGCCACCGCGAAGACAACTTTTAAGAGGAATCCTATTATCCAATCACAGTCCGTTTACAGTCTTGTTTACAAGCTGTTATCAAGCCGGATTAAGTAAGTCCATTTTGAGCTTACTTCTGTCGGACACGGGATCTACAATCAGAGACAATTAGTTGGGACACTTTACGCAATGGTGATATTTTCGTTCCCGTTCTCCCTTTTCCCCTCTTGTTTCTTGCTATTCTGTTATGAAATCTTAAGAGGGTGTCTCTGATTGTTAGTCTAGAGCTGGCATTTGTCAATTGTTTTCACATTATGTCCTCGGGAAGGACACTTCACAGTGGCTCAGGTATAAATGGGTACCGGAGAATTGTTGGGAAAACCTGGCAAATATGCTAATGATCGACTAGCACCCCACCCAAGGGGAGAATACTCCTACACTCTCCATGTTACAGAAACTTGGGCTAAAACGCCCACCTGGTGATCACTAGATTTGAAACAGGCTCTTGCTTTCCTTATTCTACCTCGAGACACTGTCATCTTGAAAATTACATCCAAACTTTAAATGCGACGGAATCCCAGTATTGGGGTAGATACAAACCAATACCATAGGAATTGCAACATTAATGGTCTGATTTTGTAGAACAGTACTCGCCAAATATTTGGTGACAGGAATCTTTGGACCTTCTTTTCTCGCCTACAGGCAGTTTTAGCGGGATTCTCAGTAGAGCGCGAGACGAGGCGAGTTGTGCGAGACGAATCGTAGACACGCGAGTTCCGCGCTCTAGTGAAACTGTTGGTTATTTGCTACAATGGGGAGATGCTCTGTTGTGATCACAAGCTAACCTTATTAAAAGCACTGCCTACAGTCTTCTCCAGATCAAGGGGTGTTCTAAGTAGCAACACCTGCGAGGATTCCTGAAGCAACGGAAGGACACTAAGGAATATCAAAACCGCGATAAATAACGAGCACACAGGATCAGCGATGAACAAACCAAACTGTTCAATGAGTACAGACGATACTATGACTCCGACACTGCCCAAGGTATCAGCGACAACGTGTAGAAAAACTCCTGCAACAAACAACACCAACATCAACGTAAGGGACGTGGTGTGCAGCAGTGATCGTTCGGGACGTTTTGTGCAGTCTTACATGACATACTTACTACTCAGAATGTGTGCTATTGACTGAGCCTGCAGTTTCAACATGACTGTTGTTAAGTAACATGACTTAATGCTCGTGCTATTTCTGATTGGACGAAAAGAATCGGAAACTCTTCGGGAACTTTCACGAGGATTTGTCATTATTCCATGTTTTATAGCTTTTGCTTCACGGTTGAATTGAAGGAACTAATAACATAGAGGGGAAAATTACTGAATTTTGATTGGTTGAAACAGAGGGCATTTTTATTTCCTTGTTCGTCAAAGGCAAAATTACTCCGAAGAGTCCCGAAGATCGCGTGAGAACTTCCGAAGAGTGCAAAGTTGAGCGGAAGACGACGATCTCTGAAGATGATCCGAACCCTTCCGAAGATGACCTGAAGATTGCCGAAAATCACCAGGTCCTTCGAAGATTTTTTAACGTGATCGTAAAGTCAGAAAATATTAACAATTGCATGTTTCCTCGTACAATGAAGGATTAATATCACGTCTTGTATTTTCAGAATTTGCAAATTTCCCTCAGTCATATTTCTGCAAATTTCAGAAAACACGCATGAGAGGTTATAATCCTTAATTTTACTTGGCCCCATGTGATTACCTATACTAAGTTTAGATGGCGCATCTCGATTTAATTCAATGGTGAAGCGAAAACCGACCATGCACCTCTCACTCTGTTACATCACGCGCAAAGAACCAATCAAAACGCATCATGGTATAAAACCAACATCACCTTACCCTGCATGTTTACACTGCGATCATGATGATGATCATCGTGACCATGGCCGTGACCATGACTGTGACCATGGTTACCGTGACCATGGTTACCATGACCATGATGACCATGACCGTGCGAGCTGCCACCGTGTGAGTGCGCATGCCTGAAAGCAAAAATGCCCACCAAGTTTACCAGAAGCCCTCCAACAGACACAACCTGAAAATAGAAACAAATAAATTGATACAATATAAGCACAGACATAGAAGTTACATCATAATATTATCATTATGCCTTCAGTACTTCAAATACAATTTAGTGTCACTTGCTAATCTACTATCTCTAGTTCCATTCAGTTTCTCTATCGGCGTCAGGACTATCCTCAGCTCAATATGTAAAGGCAGCGTTCAAATCCAAACAAACTTTAAAAATTCCCCGTTGCAGTTTACGTTCTCAGAAACCCAGAGTTTGGTCATTTCGCGTTGTTGTTTTACAGAGGACAGCTAAGAAATGTACCAAAACGTATAACGCACGTGCAGAACTATTGTATTGCTCATTAAACCTTTTGTTTAGGGATGTTCTTGTTGACATCGCCATTGCCGTCACGGTTTGCTTAAACTCCCTCGGGTGGCATAGATGTCCAATTTTAGTCCAAATTGTTATTTCCGAATTCATTTTCAAAACGTTGAAATTGGACAGCTGCAATTGGACATAGAGAAGTTTACTAATGACTGTCAAAAACCTAACACACAGAGCCACTACGGTTGCAAATAGCACAATCAACCAATCAGAACTCAAAACAGACCATGCAACAGATGGCACGCGCGGGAAAATTCAGGTAAGCTACACCACGTCCTTATTTGGTTTTGCACCTGATTGGCTGAGCAAACAAAATCTAAAATCTGATTGGTTACAGTCGGGGGAACAAGGGCCAGTTGATGGCAAATCTTCGATGAAGTAATCCGAGAGTTTAAGATTCTCATAATCCAATCAAAAACTAGCGCGAACACTCACCACTCGTAGCGCAAAATGATACATCATGTTGCTTAGCAACTTCAGGGACGAAAACCGTGGGCTCAGTCCCGTCTCGGAGATGGAATTAAATTCCATTTTGCCATCAACTGGCTGTTTCCCCGACTGTAGACTCTAGCTCTTTCTCAAGTTAGAAACAAAAGCTCTGTACTAAACATAACTGCACTTACTAATAGTCGTTCAGTGTTGACTTTTGGAGGATCAAACAAACGTTGAACAGCAGCCAGGAACACAAAAAAGGAAATTACCACCAAGAAAATACCATTGACAAAGCCTGATAAAATCTCCACACGGCCATAACTGCAAATTAATGGAACTACTTTAACCCTTTCACTCTCAAGAGTGTCCAAGTTCAAAATTGGACAAAAAAGATCCCAGTCAGATTTCATTTTGCAAAATATTGGAAAGCAAACAGCACCACAATAAAGTACAGCTTGATAGCTTTCAATTGAATGGCCACCCATTAAGGTTTCATTCGCAGAAAAATGAAAGTTCGAACCACCTTGAACATGCAGTATAATAAACAGTACCACATAAAGTAGTTTCACCCACAGACGTACAAGTTAGAACCACCTTGTACAGCATAATAAACAGTACCACATGGAAGTACTGCTCAAGGGCTTTCATTTGAATAGTCACACACTAGCCAAGGGTTTCATCCGCAGACTGAAAGATTAGAACCACCTTGTACAGCATTATCATTATTATCATAAACAGTACAACATTTCATTTGAATGGATGCACACTAGCGTTTCATCAACAGAAGTAAAAGTTAGAAGCAATCTTCTACACCAGTACAGCATAATAAACTGTACCACGTGGTCACATAATAGAGTTCAACTTATACATAGACTTAAAGCTAGTCAGAATAATTTTAATTGGTGCAGTTTGTCTTTGGAAATGAAAGGATTATGTAAATAATGAGAAATAAGTGACAATTGAGTATATCTACAGACCCATAAGAGAATGTTTTCGAAGCTTTCCATCTGGCCATGAGAGCTGCACAAAGTCCAATCACGAGAGCAGTGCAGTCAAACAGCATGTGAAAACCATCAGATATGAGGCCAAGGCTATTGGTCCACACACCATACAGAAGCTCTACACCTGTGAAAAGCTAAAATAACAATAAACAAGCCATTACCAAATGTATTACCATTAACAAAATTTATAACATGTATACTACCTAGAAGTGATGCATGCTTGTAAAACTCAAGAAAGTATGGATTATATAAAAACTCTGTTCAAAACTGTGGCTGCATATAAACCCCACAAGGACTTTTGAGCTCCCCCAAATTCATGCGAGTGTTTGAACAAGGCTATGCGAACATCAAGGAGCAGTTGTCTATTTTTGTAATGATTTACCAAAAAAATACAATCAAAATGCCGTATTAAGCGGATTAAAACCCTTAATTAAGCAGACAGTAGCAAAAGTCCCAAAATTTATCAGCTCCATTATTAGCCTGAGATCAGGCTCCTGAAGAAAATTTGCGAGCGAAGCGAGCCGAGTCGCTGCCTGGGGCGAGAACGAAAGCGACGTCGCTTTCGTTCTGCAGCGACTCAACTCGCTTCGCTCGCAAATTTTCTTCAGGAGCCTGATCTCAGGCTACTCCATTATTTACTGTGAAATAATACTTCTACTAATATTAGCGAACACCCTGTATAAGGCGGACACCCTGTACTAAGCGGACACTAGAGCATTCCCCAAGGGTGTCCGCTTAATACAGGTTTGACTGTAATGAACAACCAAATATAATGGACAAACCTCGTGGTTCCAGCCATTTCTAAAGATGCTGACCAGGCTTTTTCATGTAAATAATGAATTCTTGCTTATAACAAACACTTTTTCTGGTCCCGCCAGCTGAATATATTGTAAATTCACTGGGATATCACAAACATTTGATCTGATAAAGTGTTCACGTTCTTTGCTGCAGATGTTTAACTAGACACAGTGCCAATGGACTACTTTACATTTGTGGTTCACAGAGATACATGTAAGTGATGGATCAAAAAGCTACAAGTGATGTTAGAAATAAAACCCTGTTTGTGATGTACATCACTAATCTCTACTTTATTGTAACAGATTTCAGATAATCTTGAGTGAAATATTATTTATACAGTGCAGCCCCAATTT